AACCAAAAACCCACTGAAATATTAGGTGGGTTTTTGGTCTTAGATGTTAAAATGTTTTTCATTCCTTCCAGAATTTCCGTCATGTCATTTTACTAGCACAAATCCGGCGCACAAAAGAGGCGTGAAAGGGAGGCTCGGCAAGAAAGGGAGAAGGAAGTGATCAGGGATTGTTGGACATCATTTGAGGTTGGCTTCCAGTACGATCAGCAGCATACAGATCCAGTACATAGGCCTACCCCAGCAGGCTCAGTTAATACCAACACCATTGGAAATTATGATCATGACAGTAGGCTTGACATAGAAGATCAACATGAACTGCTAGCTAGGCCAGAAAGCCCAGAAACACAGAAGCATGTGCAGAGACGGCCCAAGAAGGCCACATGAGCCAGCATTCAACAGAAAACAAGCCTAAAACATATGGGGTCGATATTGGACTTTGCCCATCAGACATTCCAACTAAAGAATATATAGAAGACATGATTCGGAAAAGGCCTCTGTCACACCCAAAATATTTCCCTAGTGATTTTACCGGACGAAAATTTCCAATGTCTGTTCTCAAAGTCAGAACAACAAATGGTGAAAGCGAGAGCAGACGATGGCTTGTATTCAGTCCTGGAAAACAGTCCTTATATTGCCTGCCTTGTAGGCTTTTCTCTCATACAGTGGGCTCACAACTGCAAAGGACACAGTCGATCATGGCATCCAAACAAGGCTGGGGTATAGAACAGAAATTGAAAAAGTTGTTTGACAGGTTGCCTCAACATGAAAGCAGTACAGCACAGTTATCTTGCAAGGCGTGAGTTGGAGAGGAGGTTAGAAAGTGATACTGGGATTGATGTGATGTCTCACAAAGTAATCATGAGCGAGACTGAGAAATGGCTAAATATACTTACGATGATAATTGATGTAGTAATTTTTCTTGGCCAAAGAGGACTTGCTTTCCGTGGCTCATCCCAGCGAATTGGCGACATTAATAATGGGCACTTCCTGGGGATCATTGAACTCCTGGCCAATTACGATTCAGTTCTAGCTGAACATGTTGCAAAGATATGAGCTTCGCAAGCAAAAGGTGAATGGCTTCAAGTTCACTATATCTCAGGAACATCTCAAATTGAATTCATCAGTAACTGTGCAGATTATGTTCGGAGTCACATTTTGGATGAAATAAGAGCCGAAAAATATTATTCAATCATGGTTGATTCTAGCCATGTGGAGCAGACAATGTTCCTCATTCGTTATTTGGCCAAGGATGATACCGAATTTGCAGTTCAAGAACGATTTTTAACCTTTGTTGATTATTGTAAGAATACGGGGGGCTGAATTAGCAAGTCTGATTATCGAAACACTCAAGCATTTTGGAATACCTATTAAAGATTGTCGTGGACAGGGTTATGATAATGCTCACAACATATCTGGCAAGTACAATGGTAGCCAACAGCACATACATGCTGTTAATCCACTGTGCATTTATTCTTCATGTGCCTGCTATTCACTAAACTTATGTGGAGCACATTTTGCATCATGTTGCACAGAGGCAGTTACATTTTTTGGAGTAGTGCAAACAGTTTACAATTTGTTTTCTTTCAGTCCTCAAAGAGTATGTGGGCAAATCCATCCATGCTTTGTCAGGTACTCGTTGGACAGACCGAGTGGCATGTGTGAGACCATTTGCAGCTTATTTTGCTGAAATACGACTTGCGCTAAAGAAACTTCTGTCTCTCAACCTCACGTCAAAAACCATTAATGAAGTTAATGGTGTAATCAAAAACGTGTCATCCTTCATTTGCATCCTTATGTCATCGATGTTGCTGAAGATTCTCGTACAGATCGACAGGAGAAATCGGATCATCCAGGCAAGAGATGCTACAGTGGATGTAGAGGTCTCAAATCTAGAGTCACTCCTTACTGATCTTGAAGATCTACGTGGGAAATGGCCACAGATGTTAAATTAAGCGAAACTGGTTGGTGAGGAAATCGAAATTGAACCCCATCTCCCATCAAAACGGAAAGTTAAAAAAAGAGCAAGACTTATTGTCATTGAGGAAGATGATGAACGAGGGAAGAACGTCCTAGAATATCCTTGTGATGGCTCTGATGAGCCTGAATCTGAATTCAAATGGAATGTCTTCTTTGTTGTCATTGATTCGGTGATTGACAGAGTGTCAAAGCAGTTTGATGCTGCAAACACAATTATTAGATTGTTCTGTATTCTGTGGCAGTATCGAAGCATGACAGAAGAGGAGCTCAAACTTGCATGCGCAAGATTAATGGACAAACACCCAGACGATCTCTCAGAATCCATGCAAGAGGAAATGGGGCACCTTAAGGTAATACATGCATCAAACTTTGGTGAAGATATGGGGCCATATCAACTTTTAAAAACAATAAAAAGGTACAAGTTAGATGGCATTTTTCCAAATCTATGTATTGCACTGCGAATATTTTGCACATTGCCTGTTAGAGTAGCATCTGCTGAGAGATCTTTCAGCATTGAGAGCGAACTTGCTGGGAGAATTGACTTCAGTGAAATAATAAAAACATTTGCTTTAAAAAAGGCATGTAAAACATGTTTCGTTTAGTTATCACAGTTCTGCATTACTGAACTCATTAAAGTAATCCTTGACAATGTGTTTAAACTTTCAATAAATTATCCAATTAAATGAACAGATGTTTACGTTTTTTCTTTCTCAAAATGATATTGTTGTTTGTTAAAGGCCTTTGCCCACGGAAAAATTTCACAAAGGTTTGTTTGTTTGAAGTTAAGCACAAAGCTACACAATGGGCTATCTGTGCTCTTCTCACCATCGAAACCCCGGATTCTAGCGTTGTAAGTCCGCAGACATACCGCTGTGCCACTGGGGGGCTTTTTCACAAAGGAAATCGGCAATTTAAGCCGTAACTTACTGGTATTAAGACTTAGTATATTGCTAAAATTACTAAAAAGTCTAGAGCTTCCCTCTTGGTCTCCCATCAGGGGCTCAGCTACTGGATCCCGCTGGGGACCCAGGGCGATTTCAGCCTCGGGGCCCACCGACGCTCTCGACGGCCCTGTCTCATATACTAGCCTAACCTGTTATCAGGTCTCTGCATGAAGTCAGTCCCCAGTATACACTCTTCTTCGATGCCCATTACCCACACATAATAATGTGTGTAACGAATTTGTTGTTATGTATTTATTTTAATATGAACGTTGTTTAGATTAAGTTTGTATGTAAAAACATGCCTAGCTTATAGTGTTAGAAATGTATTGGGAAACTCCCGCCTATTCTCCAAAGTTGTAGAAGATTCTTGAAAGTAAGAATCAATAATATAATTATATATGTAAACGTTTAAATATAGCTCAGTATTGTCATGTAATCTTAATTTTCTAGAAAACCTTCCCACGCTTATAAATACAACCAACGCGACGCGCCAAAGAGAGTGTCTATTAATAGTTCACTATAACCAGTGTGCTATAAACTTCGAAAGCTATAACTGTGATTTTTATAACGCTTATCAATCCGAAAACTTAAGATATTTGACAAGGAATATTTATAAATTTCGAATGTTACAAATCGTTTAACTTCAGTGGATTCTCATCGGACATTAGTATTTTTATGGAAACATTACCTAACTTCAACGGACCAACAATTCAGCGTGTGTGGCGAAGGACAAAGCTAACTAGCTTCCCGGTGAATCGTATCTATATCGACTTGAAATTAACTCGCTCACCGTGTACCCTCGATAAGATATCAAGGGAGTTCCAAACTAGAAAGAAGATTTTATATTGTTTGTGAAACTTTTGTTTATAAATCTTTGTTTGTAATAACTATTTGTAATAAGTGTTACTGTAAATTGTATTGTTGTGTGTATATTAAAACGTGTTTGCGTTAAAAACGAAAACGGCGTGTATCAATCTTGTTAGCAAATATCGTAAACTGATTGTATATCGGCTTTAATTTAACTACTAAATCCAAAGTACAATTTAACTACTAAATTTAAATTATCAGTTAACTCGGTTTCGGGCGATTTGAAATTTTAATATGTAACATGTGTAAAAAAGATCCTACAGTAAAGAAAACTTCCAATTTTGTTGGAGCTTTATGTCCATCTGCTGTTTTCATCAATCCCTATTCTTTCTTCATCTCTGGGGGTAATTCCCCATCTTCCATTAACAAATTAGCTAACTAATGAATGAATATTTGCTGTAAAATTCATGTCATTGCTGAATCTAAGTTTCAAATGGACGGCAACTGCCTGTTGTAGAAACCTACAAGTGTAGAGGACAACGTTTCGAAAGTCATCCCCCTTTCATCTTCAGGTCAGTGTGTGTGTGTGGTGTAGTTTGGTCTTTAAGTGTAGCTACCAGTTTGGCCACCAAATTTAATTTCTTTAAGTCGCAAGCTCAATCCTTTTTTGGTCGCACCGTTTTTCACACCTAAGATGTTTTTGATTAAATATCATGATTTTTTTTGTCAATACACACCAACAAACCACAGCAAGTAAGACTCGATAGTTACCCACATTAGCTTTAGTAGCGCAATTCTATTATTATTGGAACAGACCTTTATTTTACAGAATCGACCAATTTTTTAAAAATATATGGTGGTTGTTTTCCTCTCTAAAACAATTGTCTTTATTTTGAATACCAAAAAACTGAAAGTGGTCCGCTTTTAATGTTAGATGTTAACATTTCAGACTGATAGCTCACGTGACTTTTTGCGTAGGCGTGCGCAATTTTTTTTTTCAAAATTGAGCTGTTTTTGTGAATAACTTCGCACATGTGGATTATATAAGACCAAGTTTCACACGTAATTGTAGTTTATAAACATCTATCAGTGTACCAAAGTTGAAAAAAATCAACTGAAGTTAAGCATATATTTTTATCAAATAACTCTTCGTTGCGAAGAAGAAAAAAAAAGGAAGAAATTCAATCAAAATTGGAGATTTTATATCTCGTGTGTTTCTTAATTGATTGCTTTAAAATGTGGTATGTGAAATAATGGTTTACTATAACATTTTCACTTAAAATGTGGGATAGTTTGGATTATCATAGTCCAAGCTACAGAAAATGGAAAATTGCTAAACTATCACTCCTGTTAATAACATACAGTTTGTCGTGCAGGTTGTTTTGGCCACATGACACTCTATTGTGTGTCGTGATAATCAACTTGTTCAAAGTAATTCATTATGCGCGAAAGCTAACACAGATCCAAATATTTCACGAAAATACACCGATTCACTCTACCGTCTATAAAAAAAACCCTTCATTTTCTCAACTATCTTCTCGACATTTTGCTGACCCCGTATTTATAATTTACCCTCGAAGTCAAATCTTTAGAAATCTTTAGGCCTAATTTTGCGTCATCATTACGACATGCAGCTTTCTCTAGCCAACATCTAACATTATAAGTATAGCTTATGAGAATATACTTTGTTCTCTGTAAATTGAAAGCATTCATTTTCTGTGATTGTTAACTGTACCCATTATCAACTCAGTAGAAGATGTCTGTTTTGTGTTTAAAATCTGACACGCATGATACCCATGTTCATTGTAGTAACAGAAACATGATAAGATCATTATCATCACAATTTTTAGAACACCCACGAAGACTGTAAGCTCGAGTTAATCATTGAATGTTGGAAGTAATTAAATTTATTAACCCACTAATGCATCAGATAATTAATTCGTTTTCCCCCGATTATTACCCTTACATGTAAGATGTTATGTTTGTTGTGGCAATTAAATCTATTTCGGTCCTGGGGTAAATGGTATCTCCCATAAAATCTTCGTATGTATTGAACAATGACTGCCCGACAAAGTATCTAACCCCAGCCATGTCCCCTCCCAGAGTATTAGTATTATTAAGCGCGATATATATCGGTTAATCGACGTACATGTAAGGTTTGCTCATTACTTCATTTTCATTGAGTGGGTCTATGAACAAATTTCCTTTCGATTTACAATGGTGGGGACCTTAGGCTATATATTGTCATATTACAAAGTATTGGTCCTCAGTCATGCCTCTTCCGCATTATAGAGGTGCGATACTTAGTGAATTACCATACAAGTAAAGTGTGTCCTTTACTGCTTCACCCTGAGGTTGGGGTATGAGCAAATTCCTTTCATCTTCGCTAATGAGGACCTAACAGTACTCAAAGACTAAGTATTGATCCCAATTTAGCAAACTTTGTAATGAATTTATTTGGTTTATTAGCTCCACCACAGAAGGCAACAGAGGTCGTATTTGTCAGTAATATTTCTTGACAATGGCTGAATGGAGTTCGACGAAAGTTGATACACATTTGAACTATGATCTAACTTAGACGTTATTAGTTTTTAAAGGGTTAAGGTCAGAAAATCACCCAAAAAATCCCTATCTGTTAACATGGAGACCTATTTTTAACACTATTTCTGCTCTATAACTCAGTCAAAATGATTGGATATTAATGAAACCTGGTGGTCGTGTGTAGAATATTATTCCTCATTATCCTGCCAAAAAATGGTCTGTGACCGTTGATAACGACGGATATATGGACAGATTTTATTATTTGTTGAGGGCCGAATATGATCAACGAGGTATGCACTCAACTGAGTGTCACTCTAGTATGGTTTATCATGAATTTGTGATTGGTGTCAACTAGCTTTTCAATGAAATAATTCAGAGTTGGTTGTGAAAGGGGAGCAGATTTGATAACATTACGTCTGTAACTTTTTTCAATTTGCTTTGATTCGAACTCGGCCTGGTGAATTTTTTCCAGATTTGTTATGTTAAACACTGAAAATTGATACTACTCTACTGTATCTTTTACGGTAAAGTTTCACTAACCACGTAAAGCAACTAAAATGCCCAGTTTTGCTCCTTTTTCCGTAGAGTTCATTTGTGTTTGTAAAATGTGAGACCTAATCAGTTTTTATTTTAATTTGTCCTAAGTTTCATTTGTTGTTACTGTTATTCTTTGGTTTTTATTTTCCTTGCAAGGAATAGTCCAAACCTATTCTCTATCAATCACTGTTACATTAAAATTGTCAAATAGTTTTCTGATTAGTTTGGTTATATCAACTTTGTATTTATGTGCTGATGGTTGGTAGTAATAAACTTGACACTGCAAGCAGATCTACACAATTCCACACATTAAAACTTATGGACTTTTCTCTGCATTATTAAATCACAACAGGCTATATTTGGAAATTTGACGACTTGTAATTACAAAGCACGTGGTTTCAAGTCCATTCCAGTGAGTTTTTTCCTTGAAAATGTCTTTGCCTTCCAAGATGCGATCTCAAACACAAGTATGGTATATCTGGACTTATTCTTGGTGAAAAAAAAATTGTTTTCCAGTATGATACGGTGATCAAATTGTGAAGGGCTATTTTCGATATTGATCCATTAAACTAAAATAACTTAGTCGTCTTTTGTGTTAATTTATTCTCAAATAGGAATCTGTGAAACAGATTTCAAAATCTTCTTGGTCACCAGTATTATTAGTCTAAGACTGTTTAAGTAGTTAAATCATCACTAATTACAAACTTATCCCTCCAAAACCAAATTTAGTTTGCAATATTTACTGCTTAATGGTTGATTTTGCATTTTTCTAT